TCCGCCTTTTACGTTGATTGCGGACTTGCAAGGGTCGTGGTCGCTCGTGCCGCCGGTGCAGAAGAGCGCGTATGAGGAGCTAGCCGTGATTTATAAGAAACATCTCTTGTCTAAAAAGGGGAAGCAGCAATTGTCGGTGGCGCAACTTTTTCCGGAGGAAAAGAATGAAAATAGTCCCATAACGGAAGAACCAAGCAAGACGAGTCATAGGCGTAAGACCACCGCCAAACGACAGATGAAAGCAAAAAGTAAAGAAATCACCAAACGCACCAAGAAGGAGATGATAGATCATAATAATAATAATGCGGAAGAAGTAACAACGGCGCTCACCACCACCCCATCCCTTTCCAGTACATGGGAGACGATCGCCTTTGATAATTTTGTGAAGCGAAATTACGAACAGATGAACGCCGCTTTATCGAGTCATACTACCGTCAATAACAAAAATAAAAAACAACGTGGTAAGAAGGGAAAACAAAATAATAATAAGAATGAAAAGATTTCCTATCAGCATTGGCTGACGATGGCGCTAGCCGAGTGGGAAGGCATGACGACTCGCCAGAAGAAACTATATTTACCGAAATAATAATCATTTTCATTTTTTTTTTTTAATAGAAATGTCTTTCATAGAACTGTAGCAAACTCATTTTGATAATTACTATATAAACATATAATATTACCTGTACCATTAACCACAAACATGAAACGAACGCTAATTGAAAAAAATAAATAAGCAGAAGTATGAGTGACTCTGATATCACAGTAAGGCAGTAATGACACTTTTTTTCTTCTCTTTCTCTCTCTTTTTTTTTTCCTGAAGAACAACTCTTTTCACCGAAAAATAAATAAATAAAACACAGCAGGATCTTTTTTTTTTTTTTTTTAAACCTCCTCCCTCTTATTTTTATTTTTCTCATGTCGTGCGCAACATTAGCGGTACGACCCCCAGCGGCCAAAGTTTCGTTTACACATTACTCTTTTTTATTTTTATTTTTCTTAATTTTACTGTTTTTTTCTGCGTTGAAATGTGTTTTACCAATGGTGAGTGGCATCATTACAATTGAAAAATCATGGATGTTACCGGAAAAGGATATGTACACGATACTAAACGGAACCGATCACAGTTTTTGTCAAGAAAAAGTTTCAACTTTTTCTTTTACCAACACCGATAATAATAATAATAGTGTGGATTCCACCTTTGATTTTGCGAGTCTTCTTCGTCAAGAAGGCACGCGCACAGACGAGGCCAATCTTCTTACCTTTCTCGCTGAGCCTAAACACCATAATAATAATAATAATGATGATAATAGTGAAGTATTGTTGTGCCACTATGACATCATCAACCAAACTGTCACCCGCCGCTACAGCAACGCACTTTATGAGACGACGGAAACGATGCAACTACCGCATGATGTTGATAATCATAATAATAGTGTGGGCAGTGTGACGGTCAAGCGAGAGTACAAGACGATGCCTTATGCCTATAAAACACTTCTGACCACCACTAGTCCCAATAAAAACGAAAGCAGCTCCCATGTCCTCTCCAAATCGTACAATGGCACTATGTTTATCTTTCACCTCGTCATGGTGTCCATCTTGGTAGCGCTGCAGCTGCCCCTCACGGTGGTTTCTTTTTTTATGCAGCAACGTCATCGACGGGAGGTGAACACACTTCTGTGGCGGCGGTTGGCGCCGGTGTGCCTACCGTGCGGCGCCTCTGTTTCTCCGGAGGAAGCTCCGTACGGCCTAGCGCTGTACACCCCTCACAGGGAAATAGAAAACAATGATCATGATAATAATAATACGTGTGATGAGAATAGTGAAAACAGTCAAACCACGCCGGATACCAGCACGGTGGTCTTTTATCCCTCGCCTTCCATGGCGTTTCAGTGGGACCCCACCGCTGAGAACACCGACGTCGACAAGCTGAAAAATAACAATAATAATGAAAATGAAAATGAAGTGAATAATACATATTATGGGCTTTTACCTGTCGAGGACGACTGTGACCGGTTCGTGACACCGAAATTAATGTTAACACGGTACCAGCACCACCACACCCTTCGCCTCATCTTTGTCCTACAGCTCGTCCTCTGCGTGGTGTCCCTTCTGTTACTGTTGTTCACCTTTTTTCATTTATTGTTTACCCTCCCCACCTCCCACAAAACGGAAATCAAAATGAATCATAATAATGATTCGTCTGTCTATTATCAGGTATCATCCTTTGAGGAACCGCTCCTCCACCACAATATTATGAATTTGTTTTCGTTTTTGTTTTCTGTCGTGTTAATTTTCATGATATGGAATGTTTGCTACCGTCGACTCGTATAATTTTTTTTTTTATTAATAGTAAATAATAAAAAAAAAGGCGAATCGAGGCAAACCCATATAAAATAACATCCACAACAATAGTATCGGTGAATCTATATATATTATTAGGCCAATCCACACATTCTTTTTTTTTTTTTTTTTCAATTATTCCATTTTTTGTTAAAACTTTGCTATCCTGTTTTTTTAGTTTTTTTTTTTTTTTTCACTGTCAGTGCCACTCCGTTGGTGACAAGCGAAATAAAAACAAAACCCCAAAAATAAAAGTATAAAACGAGACTTATTTCATTGAATCACATTTTTATTTTTGCTAAAATATTCAAAACATGATCAATGGTCTTTTTTTAGATTTCGTCCGTTTTTTTTTTTCCTTCTGTTCATTTACTTCTTTTATCAATACCACTCCGTTGGTGATAATTGAAGATAGCAGTAAAAGAAAAAAAAAAAATATTATTATTATTTTTGGTTTTCTTCGTTCCGACAGAAGAATGAATGTTTTGTTTAATTTAAATTTCTAAAAAAATATCCCTCCTCTCTCTCCTTTCTTCAGAAAATCTTTTTTTGTTTTCGAACTTTAACCGTTGCTTTTCAAGTTCCCTTTCCTTTTCCTTTTTCTTGTGTTGTATATTTTCGTCCCTTACTCTTTTATTGATCGATTTTGTTTATTGTTTTCTTATTTATACCTTTTTTTTTTGAGTGTAAACCAAAAAAAACAAAAACAAAAAAAAACCCACAATTCGAACGCCAGCGTTTTTTTTTTTTTTTGCTATTCCAAACCATTAAAAAAAAAAAAAATTCTTAGAAATGAACGAACCCGCAGCTTCCGCCACCTCTGCCTTTGAACAGAGACCATTTCCGTCTGTTGCCCCACCGACAACAAACAGCGGCGCTAGCTCCCCTCCACTGGAGAGGGAGACCACAGAGGACCCACCGCGGTCCCCGATTGCGCCTACCGGGCCGAGACTGAGGCGACCCCTGCCGATAGATCCCACCCCCAGGCGGAAGTGGCTCTCCGCCTACTTGGGTGTGCTGATTGCTCTTCTCATTTCTACCATCTTGTTTGGGATCTCCTTCGCGCTGGTGCATACCGATAATATAGCGGTATTCCCTACGGTGACAGTCGTCACGGATGGTAGTAGTGGTGGTAGTTCGGCTGGCTATCCTCCTGTGACGTGTGCCTCCCTCGTCTCGGATGAGGATGCGAGGGCCCTGCTGGTGTACCTGGATAGCGCCGACACCGCCTTGGAGGCCTCCCTCGCCGAGCACCCGTACCCTCTCGCCCTCTTCCACCACCTCGACCGCCGCACCCTTGAGGGTTGGCAGTGTCGCACGCTGCTGACCGAGGACGACGAGGCGGAGTTCACCTTTCTCTTTGAGTCTTTCAATGTCACCCTACAGAGCAATACCGCCCACTCGGCGGTGCTGGTAACCGTCTACGCCGTCTTCCGGACGACACTCCTCGGCGCCAGGTTGGAGGATGGGTCGGTGATGCCGCTGCCCTCCTTCAAGGTACAGCTAGGACTGCGGATCGGCGGGCTGCTGGTACGTGTGCTGAGTGCGGTGGCGGTGCTGGGGGCCATCTTCTTCCAGCTGCGTCACGCCCGTCAACTAGCGAACTCACCGGCACCCACCGAGGTCGCCGCCCCCCGGGCTGCCCCTGCCCAGCAGGTGTGGCAGTGCGGCACCCGTCCCTTCCCAGGGTTCGAGCTGGAGGAGTCCCCGTACGGCCTCACCACCTACACCGAGCGAAAAGGAGACCAAGAAGTCGCCGCTGCCGATGAGAAGACCGTCTTTGGCCAGGAGCTCGATATCACCGAGGAGGAACTACGCGAGGCGGAGGAGGAGCAGCGGCGGGAGGAGGGACTGCGCCTGCCTGCCGTGCCCTCCGCGGACCTGCTGTCGGACCGCTCCTACGAGGGGACCAGCCGCTCCCTCTGCGGCGTCGTGCTCGAGGACGGTGGCAGCCGCAAGCTGGCCATCCTCCGTCTCCGCCACCAGAAGCGCACTAGGATCTTTATCATTGTCTTTATGGTGGTTCAGATCATTACGTTTATTGCGGGTGTTGCCAACATTGTCCTCACCTTCGCCCTGGACGGGATAGAGTTTTCCACAGGCGGTGTGCACATCCAGAGTAGCTACTCCATGGACAAATCAGCGGTGATTGGGGTTTCGTGTGCCTTCGTCATTTTTGCTTTCCTGGTGTGTTGGGCCATCTACCAGCGCAAAATGTTTTAAGTTTTAATTTTTTTCTCTTTTCTTTTTTCACCAATTCGTATTTTTTTTTTTTTTATATATATATAATGTGATTTCTTCCTTTTCTGTTATCGCAAAGTGTGGGCAAGCGAGCCATCATTAGTTTTTTTTTTTTTCCCCTCCTTCCATGAAATCGCTTTATTTTATCGGATTCTTTTTTTTTTGCTCTTGTTTTTGAATTACCTTTCCGGTTTGCTGCGAATTGTGTGAAAAAGACCTTCAAAGGGGACGACCGCCTTTCACATTTTCTTCTCTCTCCTACTTTTTCACCTAGGACAAGGGGAAAAAAAAAAAACTAAGCGTCCCGTGGTACGGGGCTGACGGCGACGCTAGGCCGGGGACAAAAAAAAAAAAAAAAAACCGCTTCCTCTCGGTAATTAGGCTACCAGAGGGCCTATGGAGGGGACTAGAAAAAAACTCGCAAACGGTAGGGTTCGAACCTACGCGTGAAATCACAACGGCTTAGCAGGCCGCCGCCTTAACCACTCGGCCACGTTTGCCCTTGCTCGCTGGAAATTTTTATCGCGGGTTGAAGGTCTTCTCCTTCTGCTTGGGTAATAGCGCGCGGGTATGCGGGTTCTGTTTTCGCCCACGGCGGGGTGGTTTGATTCTCCCTGCCTGCTCCGATCGTTCTTTTTCGTGTGCCCCAGGTGGGTTCCGGGCCAGCCGCGGCCTCCCGGTGGCGGGGAGACGGCCTGCCGCTGGCCAAGAGGCCAGGCCGCGCGCGGGTGCGGCAAACCGCGAAGCCTTCTATCCCATCCTTCTCCCCTTCTGTGTTTTAGGATCTGCGATAGCAAATTACAATAACACCACCAAACCGCATCAGTACATATTATCGCGAAAGATGGGCGGAAACGAGTCGAAAAGCCAGAACACCGTTCCGGATTACAGCGAGGTGAAGCCGGAATCGACGGACATCAAAGACCTCGTGCAAAGCGGCCGATACAAAGTGGCCCGTCCGGAAACCTTGGAGATGATGAACCAAATTCAACATGCGGACGCACGCGACCCCAGCAAAATGTACCCAGATTCAGAGGTGAAGGACATGCGAAAGTATATTATCGAGCAAGAAGGGCTTGATATAGGACAGTCTCGCCGCAAGATTCTTTCCCAGCAGTGGCGATTTTTCCTTTCAAGCGAGCCAATGCAGAGGGGTCTCGACGCTGGCATCATCTTTGGCAGTTGCGCCGCGGCATTTTATGCGGTAAGGGTCAAAGTACGCATACCCGCCCGTGTCGCCCTGGTGTTCGTCGGGGGATTTACGGTTGGCATGTTTTCGGTTCCTTTGATGGTGATTTTTGCAGACACTTACAACTCACAGAGAATTAAAAAATTGGAAAAGGAATTGTTCGAAAAGCAACGTTCGGACTACAGAAAGGGAGATTTTTAGTTTCATCCCCCTTTTCTGAACACTTAAAAATACATCATTACATTTTTTTTTTTGAAATTTAAAAATACGCATCAATGTTTTTTTTTTTTTTCCGGTACTATATATTTATATATTTTGTTTACTTTGGCCTACGACGCGTAACCTATGGATAACGCCCACAATTTTGCACTCCCTTATTTCCCCCGATAACCACATTTAGTCGCATGCAGTTTAGCTGAAGGAAAAATTGCACTGCCAGTAGCATTTTTTTTTTTTAAACACTTTATCTCCTTTTCAAAATATTCACATTCACATTTTACTCCATTCTATTTATTTACCGAAATGTGGCTAAAGCGGACAACAACGCATTTTTCTCCCAAGAAACAGCCGGTTGCCAATATTGAAGAAGAGGTTCAGCACGCGTCAACTGCCTCTGACGTGAGAACTTTGGTTCCCCTATCGAAAGAAGGCTTGGAGTACCTAAAACAAAGCTACCCATTAGTGAAGAACGAAAATGATGTGGAGCAACTGCAAAACGAGTTGAAGGGCGGGAACGAATATGGCTTTTCGCCGCTTTTTGATCCCAAACTTGTGGATGCCTGCTGCAAAAGGGGAATTTTTCCCCTCACTCTCTCAATCGGCTCGAACTATTTTATCTTCGCGCCCAAACTGCATGTAAAAAGAAGTTTGTGCATATTTGATGAAACCGGGAGGAGTTTAATTGGCGTTCCAGATTGCGATATTTTTACGCCACAAAAAATGCACCCCTCTAGAAAGCTGTTGAAAGAATGTGACCCGAAAAGCAAAAAGCCGGCCTTTACCGTATTTATCAATCGAAAAGAGGACGTTGCTGATGTTTTGAATTTGATTAGACGCCAACACACTGAAAACTGGCTGTGCAAGGCCTTGCGGTTGTGCATCGTCTATATGTTCGAACACCCCGAATTATTCACCACTAAAATTATCATCACCGCTATTCGACGGGCAAAATACGACGGCGAGGAAGCGCCCGTGGGGGATGATATGATTCACGAGGGTGAATTAATTGCCGGCGAAGTGGGATACATTGTAGGCGATATTTACAGTTCCGCGACCGGTGGCTACTGCATGAGCGGCGCCGGCTCTTTACAATTGGCAGTGTTGGGCGCCATTTTACATCAATGCGGCTGCAGCGTGTGGGATTTGGGAATGCGGCTGAAATACAAGGAGGAATGCTTAGGCTCGGTGGAAGTGAGTCGTCGAAAATGGGTGAACCTTGCGAAATCCCGCGCCACTAGCTCGATAAACTACGAGAATTTGGCGATCTACAAAAACGGGGTTCCGGTTCGTCAAGTGCTGAAACAATAAAGCAGTTGGTTTCCATTTTGGCTTTATTTGTTGGGCGCCCGACATTTTTTTTTTTTTTTTTAATTTCCGTCCTTCCACGGTAACCCTTTGCTTACAATTTGCTTCGCGCTGAAAAAGCACCTCGTAATTTTTTTCCCCCTTTTCTGTTTTGCTATTTTACGAAAGTTAGTCTATACTGCCATTATTTTAACAAAATGTCAACCGAGAAAAGCCTCTTCTTTAAGGAAAAGGTCCTGGTCGACCGCGATTCTTTAACGGAATCTCAGAAGTGGTCGTATGTCACGGATAACACGCTAAAGATGATGAGTTTTGGTTTTTTGTGCGGCGGAACCGTCGGCCTCGTTGCGTTCCGTTCTGTGGCAACCAGGGCAGCGTTTGCTGCTTTCGGCGCCGGTTGCGGTATAGGTAAAGCTTATGTGGATACAAAGTACATCCTCGGCCACGATGTTTCTGCCGAGACAGTTTGGAAGGCACAAGTTGTCAAAAACGAATCTTGATATTAGCGAATTTACAAATACACAAAAATACATTTTTAATACATTGTTTGAAATTTTGGTGAGCGTTGCCCCCGTTTCGGCGGTATTTTTTTTTATTTTTATTTCTAGCCGTCCCTTTTTTTTCTTTATTGGCTCAATTCTTTCCTCAACCATTATCTCATTAATCAAGTTTTTCGTTAAACCACTTTTTACCACACCTTTAAGAAAATGATGCGCCGTGTTATCGCTCAGCCCGCTCGCCGCGTGGCCGCCGCCTCCACTGCCCTGGTTGCCTCTCGTCAGGCCTCCACTGTGGCCATCTCTGTTCAGGGTCTTCACTACGTCGGTACTGGTCTCGCCGCTATTGCCCTCGCTGGTGTTGGTATGGGTATTGGTACCATCTTCGGTGCCCTCCTCGTCGCCTGCGCTCGTCAGCCCAACCTTACCAAGATGCTCTTTAACTACGCCATTCTCGGTTTCGCCCTGACTGAAGCTATCGGCCTGTTCGCTCTTATGCTTGCCTTCCTCATGCTCTTCTCTTAGAGTGCGTGAGGCTACAACGCTGAAGTATGAACTTCCTTTTTTTTTTTTCGTTTTAAAATCTCCTTTGAAAAGTAAGTAGGTATCATTGGTAATCACTAGTTAGTTTTTTTGTTTTTAAATATTATTCAATTTAGTAACGTGAAATTCTCGAAAAAAAAAAAAAAATATTGGAAAACCGCGTTTTGACGCGGGATGATTTTTGTTTGCTATTTTCACTCTGCGAAAATAGACACCTCCAATTTTCTTTTGTTCTCTCTCATTCTCTTAAATTGATTTTTGATAAAGTCAACATTTTATAAAATCGCCGTCATTTTGTCGGCGGACAATTTATTTAAAGTATATTAGTAAAACATAAAAATGAGCCAATTGCTAGTGTCGGAGGGAGGCATTGTCAACATTGGTACGTATTTTTTCAATGGGTTTTCTCGAAAGCCCCCGTGTTGCTTTGAGAAAGTTGAGATAGAAAAGAACGGCGCGGGCTGGTCATCTTCCTTGCCGTTGAAAACAACGTTCAGCAATTATTCTAAGGTCAAGGTGCCTTCTCTAGCGCTAACGTACAGTGAGGAAAATTTCTTTTCGGTAGCGGTGGTTAGGTGCGATACGTGGGCAATTCAGTGGGTTGTGCAAACAGAGAATTTTTTGTCTGGCTCGTCGATAGAGAGTCTCGCGTTGCTCGGGGGAGACGTGGTGTGCGGCACGTACAAGAAAAATAAAGACAAGGGATTTTTTATAGCAAGCAGGTTCGATATTGCGCGAGTAGACAGCCGTGAAAATCGCACTAGTCGTTCGTTTGTCGCTAAACCTCACCAAATGGAGTTGGCTGGTGTCAACGTGAATGCCTTAATTGCGTTGGAGCCAGTCAGCGCCACTTCCTTTGTGACGCTTGAAAGCAACGGCGTTGTTCGTCTCCACGAATTAAGCCCAAAGCCCTCGGAGGAAAACAAATACATACAAAAATCAACAGTAGTGACAGATGCACTAGGCAAGCCAAACAAAGACGCGGCGCTATTGACCAGAATTACATCCAGCCACACGTTCGTAGCGGTATATACCCCCGAAAAAGTAGAATTTCTTTCCGTTGAAAATGAGACACTATGGGAAAAACCAAAGTGTCAAAAAATACCCATCCAGACCGAAAAGGATTGCAAGATAGTAGATGTCTCATTTGCTGGTGATTTTAACCTCTTACTGACACTCGAAAAAACGAGCGGAAAAAAATCGGCACATTTTTACCAATTTCACACCATTCTTCCGGTATCCAACAATGCCGTGGAGTTAACCGCGATGGATAAGATTGCAGTCCCCGCGACACCACTCCGTCACGCCTACAACGAGATGACCAACACAAGCGTTGTGTTCTGCTCCACTGTCCCGCTGAAGGAGTTGGAGAAACTCTCTTTAGATGAAAAAGTGGCCTCTGTGGTGCGTGCGGAGTTTTCCCTGGAACAAGGACCCTTCACGTCACAGGACGTTTCGTCGGTGTCGTGGAAAAAGATGGAGAATAGTTTCACCAATTATCAACCCACCGAGGAAGATATGCCCGAGGGGATGACCGGCAGCGATGCGCTCCACACCGGAAACAGAGGTCACTGGACTCCTCTCCAGTTGTACTACGTGTTAGAAAACTTGCGAGGAACATCCACTGAGCGGTCCTTCTTTTCGATTAAAACGTCCGCCGCGACGCACACCCGCCTCATCAAACAGTGGCACAACGCGACGGTTGGGGTGCAGAAATTACTGTCCGATAGCTCCACCGCTCCTCTGG